CTACTACATTCATGTGAAATGCATCCAAAATTTGGGTTTTTAAGACTGATGGATATCTAGAGGAATGGATAGATCAGTGATGTAACAAGTAGAGTAAAATGTTAATAGTGGACTCCAGGAGATGTGTACATACCAGTGGTCACAAAATCATTTCAACTTTGGAAATCTTTTTTTTTTTTCTTTTTTCTTTTTTTGGAGAGATTTTCACCATAGGGTGCGTGTGCCCGCCAGACAGACAGAGAGAGACATAGAGACAGAAGGTGAGAAATCACCCCCAGGGGGGATGGTCACACCGCAATCCCTTCTCCTCCATTCTCCTCTCGGGATCTTGGGCACGCAAGCACATGCACCCGGCGTGAGTTTTAAGCCACCGGGTCCGGGATGCGAACCGCGGTCGACTATGTGGGAGTCCAGCAACATAGCCATTATGCTAACTGCTGGTTCCCTGGAAATCTTTATAATAGAATGTTAGAAGGAAAATAAAAAATAGATAAATGAAAATCTTAAAAATCAATGGCAAGCCGAGCCACCGTGACACAGCGGTAACACAAGTGCCTGCAGTGCTGGAAGCCACATGGCTGACTGCGGATTTGGATCCCTGGGTCAGAGTGAAAATACACCTGGCACACACAGGCACCCAGCATCCTGAAAAACTAGAAAGTTGGGGAAGGGAATCGTGGCATGATGGGACCTAGTCAAGGGTGCCACCTCCCCCCCCCACACACACACACTCTTTGTCATTAAAAATAATCAACTGCACTCACTTAGCCTTTTGGCTAAGATCCAGTGTAGTGAAAATCAACTGCAGTGAGTCAGCCAGGTGGCATGGTGGTTAAGATGGCTAAATCCCACATAGCTGAGTGCACTGTTTGATCCCAGACCTGGCAGCTCAGAAAATACATCAGGCGTCTGTGCATGTGTGCTCAAAATTCCAACAGGAGAATGGAGAAGGGACTGCAGCATGGCCGGACCCCCTGGGGGGGTGATTTTTCACTTTCTCTCCCTCTCTTTCTCTCTCTGTGTGTCTCTGGCAAGGACACATGCCCTATAGCAAAAACCGGCTGAAAAAATTTGACTCCACGCCACACATAAGCAGGTACCAGCTTCCAAAAGGTATTTTATACTACGGATATGGAATGCAGTACATTCTACAGTGAAGGAACCGAAGTGTGTACCACAGCCTCCAAGTGAAAGAAAGCCATCAAATCCACTTGAAGGTTGCTTGGACAGAGTCAAAAAGGCCCTGACCCTCTGGGAAGCACTGTGATGTTACACACCTACCTTTTCAGGCTTGTGTGGAGGAGTTTGGGCTATGGGCCAAGATAAGAGCCCCTTTGGAAGGTTCCCTAATCCATTCACAGGGTCCCATCTGAGGAATGACACTGCAGTCAGCCTCTAACCTCTTAGCCATCACTCCCCTTTTATGGTCGTTTCAAGTTTAAAGCATATACTCATCTGTTTCCAGATTCCTAAAGGTACTAGAAAAAAAAAAATCTAAATATAACAGATGGATAAGTGCTCATGGTAACTGGAAACCAAAATGTAACTTCAGCTTTTGCGGCTGATGCCTTAACACTCCCGGCTTTAGTGTAATGGCCCCACTGCAGGTCTTTTGTCTTGATTCCCACAACAGAAATATTACCCTGACTTTGATTGATGACACTTAAGTGTTATTCAAAATTTTATTTTAGGTTGACATTAATAACCTTTATTTATTTTAAAGTCAATCGGTAAGTGTTCTTCAAGAAGTGACAATTTACTACCAAACACAATCGAGTGTCTCTATGGTTTTTATATTCTTTTTTTGTTTTCCATAGTTCGATATACCTTTTAAAATCGAATTCAAATGCTGGTGAGATCTCTGAAACATTCTGTGAATTCTAGGGTTCCATGGAATATAATACAAAGGCTAGGAGGACTATATTTTGTATTAAATCCATGATCTTTAGGTAGTCTGAATACCCACGAAACTCTGCAGAGCCTTTGTATAATAAAGTGGTATCAGTCCACTAACTTCCTGATTCTGAATACCTCCTTTGTTGTTGTTGTTGTTGTTGTTGTTGGAGAGGGTTTTTTTTTTTTTTCTATGTGGCGTGTGACAGGGAGAGACAGAGAGAAAGAAAGCAAGAAATCACCCTCCAGGGGAGATGGCCACGCCACAATCCCTTCTCCTCCATTCTCCTCTCAGGATCCTGGGCACGCACACACACGCACCTGGCATGAGTTTAATTAAGCCAATAGGTCCAGAACTCGAACCGCAGTCGACTACATGGGAGTTCAGCAACATAGCCATTACGCTAACTGCTTGTCCCCTCTCTCCTTTCCACCTTATAGTACCTGGCTCCAACGTTTTGGCGTACTATGTTCAACCCAAGTTCTCCAGTTTCATTCATATAAGTGAAACCCTCAATTGTACTTCCTGGGCTGGCCTCCCAAGGTTCAGCAATACGAATAATGTGACCATGTCCCCATAGGAGGAACAGGGCTGTGTTGCATATGGGTCTGAATCTAGTTTGAATGGAAACTCCCCAGAGTCTGGAAACTAGTACATTTCACATTCAAGTTACCACGTCTTCTTAGCCACCAACAAAATAAATGTCAAGATCTCAGCAAACTCAATAGCAGCTCTAATGTCAAAACTGAAACCACATAATGATATGCATGCTGAAGTGTTTAGGGGTGAAGTGTACAGATGCCTGCACTTTGCTTGGAAATGCAACCCCCCAATTTAGATAAACTAAGAGATGGATGGCTATGGGACAAAGGAAATTAAGAGTGAAGTATTTAACTGTATAATCTAGGTGGTGGGAGTGTGGAGTTTACCAATATAGTTTCAACATTTCTGTTTGTTTGAAAACCATTGTAATAAAATGTGAAGGGAAAAAATGATGCCTGCTACAATGCATAAGAGGGACTGTCCCATTTGAGTGTACCCTCCACTGAAGACAGGATTACAGACATTAGAGGGACAGGTTGTCAAACGCAGATCCTAAGGTTGCCCTGTGTAATGCCACAGGAATGCTGCGATTTTAAATGTATACTGTGACTTTTTTAATTTCTGCAATGCCTTTCATTCAATTAATTGTATCTCTAGTAGGGGAAACATCAGTATTCTTCTTTCCTAGGAGCTTCTGGTTTCCTGGGGAAAACAGTACAATTTAAGATGGTAACCCCAACCTGATCCTTTACTCTTTGTGCCTTAGTCTGTCCTGATTGAAAAAATAAAAATAAAAATAAAAATACCCAAATCCCCTCTGGACCACCGCTTTTCTACTCAAGTAAAGAACTGTGAAAGAACCGAATTGTGTATGTAATAATGGGACCTCCTTCGGGGAGACACACCCTACAAAACATGACGCTTATTTGGCTAATAGGAGAGAAGCATGAGGCTACTATTCTAAATACATCTGTATATATTTCATCCACTTTTATTTTAACTGGTTTGATCCCCAGAACTGTTTAAACAAAATTGAAATACTAACAAGCAATAAATAATTAAATACTTGAATTGTGGTTGCACACTGGACTTTTAATATGTGATATAAGGCTGATGCAATGATAATTATAATGACAATGATAATGAGGATGATTAAAGCACTGCTCTTTCTCAAGCATTAAGGACTTCAGGCTTTCATGTTTGATTTCTGAAAAGCTGGGACCTTGGCTATGCTTATCATACTGACCACAATATAATTTCCAATTTATTGGGTTGTCAGAAAAGTCTTGATGTATTTTTCTGTGCTCTTCTATACAAAAATGCATATGACTTTTCCGACAATCCAATAGCTCTAACTTTAATAAATGTCCTAAGTGTGCAGTTCTAACACATGTGAATCAAGGCTTCAAACCCAGAAATGAAGGAGCATCCAACTTTCATCTCTCAAGCATACATCTGTTACACAAGTGAGCATCTGTTGTTGGCTTCTCTAGCCTTTGTCCTATTAATAGAAGAGTTGACGATGGATAAAAATCTTAAAACAACTTCCATATCCACTGAACTTTTATGATGTTGAAAAATCATTTTTTAAAGAATTATTTATTATTTATTGGGGCCAGCAGGTGGCACAGTGGTTGGGGCACTGGACTCCCACATGGCTGACCATGGTTTCAGTCCCGGACACAGTGGCTTCAAACTCATGCCAGGCACATGTGCGTGCATGCCCAAAATCCTGAGAGGAGAATGGAGGAGAAGGGCTGCTGCATGGCCATCCCCTCTGGGTAGGAGAGTGATTTCTCACTTTCTCTCTCTCTCTGGCGTGCTCACATGCCTTATAACAAAAAAAGAAAAAGAAAAAACTTCTCCCCCCCAAAGAAATTATTCATTTATTATTATTATTATTATATTATGGCATGAGGCATGTGCACTCACCAGGTGAGTGAGAGTGAGAGATCAACCTACCAGGTCTGGGACTTGAACCATAGTTGCCCATGTAGGAGTCTAGTGCCACAACCAGCACACTATCTTCTGGCCCCCCAAAATCTTAGTTACATTCTCACAAGTTCCTATTGGACTTGAACTAAACTTGAAGACAAATCTGGACATGAAGATTTTATATTTGGCATGTAAGGATGAAAGGGCCCTTCTGTCACGTTCCTAGCCTCAGCCTTTGTGCAATCCTAATTAATTGCTTACTGACTTCTTTGTTTGGGTTTTAAAGAAAATTCACGTTTGTTCCTAGGGGACGATGAACGGACTTGTTAGTAGATAAATTATCCTTAACTAAGCGAACACGGCATATGCTCGCCTTAAATAAAGCACTCTGACTTGATAGTTGAAAAATTATCACATCTCCTAAAACTAGAAGATTCTTATAAATCTCATGTGAAAGGATACTGGGGCATGTGAGCCAATGACAAGTCTAAGATGGTGTGACCCCAGCTACTTTAGAGATCAGAGACCTCTCTCTTCATTTCACATCAACTGGGCATAGATTGAATGCTAGACTTAAGTTGAATATCCAAACCTGACTTCTTCCTTGGGAATCCTGGTCAAATCATACCTGTATTGTCGGCTTCCATGGCACAGTTAATACACTTGAACTCTGAGATACAGTTCGAACTTTTACATGCACGTAAAATTACTATCCTGTAATGAATAAAGGAGATGGTTTTTAAAAATAGGAAAAAAATGTAATGTCCACTTGGTGATTTAATATTCTTATAAAACAATCTCTTATAGAAAGTTCTCAAAGTTCACTCACATCAACTAAACAATATTTTACTTATAAGATCATTTCTTTGGGACATTAGTAATATTGTGTCTGTGTATGTTTGCGTGTGTGTGTGTGTACGCATGCGTGTCTACACAACTTCACTTTTTTACAAGTGCAATGTATACTTTGATCGAAGACTGCATAAAAATCCAAGATTTTGGAGACTCCACCTTTCAAGGATCCATGTAGGACCCCCTTTGTAAGTGAGACAGTTTCTCTCAAGTGAAAATGAATTCCTACTAAATGAGAGGCTGGGAAAACTTAGGAGATGTAACAAGAGGTCACAATTAAGTCCATTAAATCCCAGACCCAGATTTAGTCACCATAGAGACAGGACAGATAAACAAACCAGTAACCTTAACAAATGTGCTGCACCTTTGCCAGACAGATCTCGGACTTACCATTATTTTTACTTAAGTATCTTTCAATCCAAACATAACTGACTCTGAAGACTACAAAACCAAACAGAACTAGGCCCAAAAGAAATATGAATGCTCACTCAAGCAAAGGGCAGGCAAAGAGTCGAGAGCTACCCCCCTTAGCAATGTGCTCTCTGGTCCCCTTGAAAAACGATTGCAACATGAAGCTCCAGAGGCAATGACATATGGGGAAAATATGTGGTGCCAAAGCCAGAGGAAACCATGTCAAAAAAGAAAAACAGACATGAAGTAACTGACCTAATTAAAAGAGAAAAGTATACTTACAGCAGGGAAACAAGTAGATCTGAAACAGGGGATATAGCAGAAGGGGGCAGGGGGTTACTGTATGAAGGCTCCCAGCCTTCAAGTGAATTTTTGTTGCTTATCTAAATGAAACCAGAATGCAAAATGGGCATCATCCTTGAGTTCCAGCTCCACTAAGACTCTGCTTAAGTGAATACTGGACCTTCAGACATGAAGATTCACTGTCTGCCTGACATAGTTACACATTCACTAAAAGCTCTGAAACATGGGGCCAGCAGATGGTGTGGTGGTTAAGGGTGCTGGACTCCCACATGGCTGACTGTGGTTCGAGTCCCAGGCCTGGCAGCTTGCTCTCTGTCTATCTCTCTGGTCAAAATTGAAAAATAATAATAAGTCATTCAAAAAAAAAAATTACAAATTTTTTTAAAAAAGCTCTGAAACAAATATTTATACTCTTCCATGTGGGATTCCAAGATGTTTCTACAAGCCATGGAGGAGGGGGCAGAAAAAGAAGAAGAAAGAAATGGGGACTTGAGACAACAGAAGAAAAGAAGCAAGAAACAACTAGTATATCATCAGAACTCCACACTGAGGTTCTGGGAAGGAGGTCTCCTAGTGTTTCATAGTTATTTACTAAGCACCTACTATGTGCCAGATGGGAATATCCTGCTTGTGATATGGAGTTCATTGAAGAAGGTAAAAGTGAAAGATTCTCAACCTCTAAGTGAGCATTTACGTATGGTAAAATGGACAAAGAACATCACAACAATATGAATACAACCTCGAATAAAGTGATACTTACATTTGTCCGTGTCTTCCAGTTCTTGCCCATATGCACATATCAATGTGCAAGGTTATAACTGCAGGATATATACAGTCTGCATCCTGCATTTTTGTCAGTAAATCTATATTGTACAAATTATTTAATATTGCTATGTAAGCACCAAAAGTATCATTTTTAACACATTCATGGAATTCCACTGCACAGATGTATCACCATCTACTGAACTAAACTATTCGTTGAATAAACAAACCATTTATTCAATACTGCACATTTCAATTCCCATTTTTTTGGTCCTTACAAATAACACTGCTATGAGTACTTGTCACAGGTAGCTTTTTCATTTTCTTAGAGCAATTTGTTTTTAGAAGAAGAAGACTCTTCACAAAATAGGTTTACTGGACAGGTACCAAGATTTTGTGAGTTTGGCCACATATTGTCAAATAAAGTTCCAAAAGTCTTTGTACCCACTTACAATGCTACCAGTAATGGGTAAGTAGATGTAAGTTTCGTGGCAATCATATTAATATGTGGGTTTCTTTCTGGTTTTGTTGACAGAATAGGTGAAAATCGTACCTTGTTGATGTCAGAATATGCCTGTCTTTGCATGCAAGTGAGGGTGAACATTTTTCTGTACATTTATTTTCTTTGTGTCCTTTACCTAACTACCGGAGATTTTTTTTTAAAAGAACTATTTTATTTAACTTTATTTATTTACTTATTAATCTACTTACTTACTTAAATTTGACCAGAGAGGGACAGAGTGAGAGAGAGAGAAGGAAAGTAAGAAAGCAAGCCGCCAGGTATGGGACTCGAACCATGGTCGGCCATGTGGGAGTCCAGCACCTTAACCACTATGCCATCTGCTGGTCCCTCTACTGGAGAATTTATTCAACCAAGTCAATTATGGGCACCTACCACGTGCCAGGCCTATTCATGCCTTGTTTAGAATCTCTGTGAGTTCCATGCATAATACAGAAACAAATCATGTCATGTGCGCCACAAATTTTTAATGTGCTTTCCTCTGCATTTGAATTATACCTTTTTGCTACAGGGTTGTATATATTTTAATCTACTAGAGCGAGCTAGTGGCACAGTGCTAACACAATGCTCTCTGATGCTAGGCCCACAAGGGACGGTCCCAGGTTCACATCCTGAGGCTTCCCTGTGCACTCAGGTGCATACGTGCCCATGATCCAGGGTGGCCAAGATTGATGGTGAACAGTGGTGTTAAGACCCTGCTTGGTGTGCCTGTCTGTCTCTCTCTCTCTCTCTGCTCTCTCTCTCTCTGTCTCTTGCATGATGCACACACTCTTTATCATGGTGGTGGGAAGGTTAAGGCGCTGGATCCCACATGACCAAGCTACAGAGTCAAGATTTCCAGACCCAGTGGCTTGAGAATCACAACAGGCATATGTACATGCATGCCCAAAATTCTGAGGGGAGAGTGGCGCATAAGGAACTGCAGCATGGCCATTCCCCTGGAGGCTGATTTCTCACTTTCCCTCCCTGTCTCTCTCTCTCTGGCTAGGGCATACACCCTATATCAAAAGTTTAAAAAACAAAACTAAACAAATAAATTAGAATCTACTGATCTCTTCCTTTGATGTTTTCTATCATTTTATAGCTAACAAAGTTATCATATATCCAGGGATTTAATAATTCTCCTATTTTCTGTGGTCTTATTTATAAGTTTTCCTAGAGTCCCAAAATACACTCTTAGAGTTATGAAATTTAGTTCTAATCCCTATTTCATGATTCTTGTGTTTTACTGTATCTAGCTTTTTTCCCTATAAAAGCAGCTAATTTAAAACAGATTTTCATATAAATGTTAGTTTTATCTTTTACCTGTGTTATGTTGTATTAAAATAATTGACTTTTCACCTACCCCGCTACAATCAGAAATTAACCCAAGTTTACCCAGGAAGAGTCAACCCAGATGGAAGAGCCTAAGTAAGATCTCCTCCTCTTTCTCAGGTGAAATACCAAGTGACAGTTCTAAATACTAGCCTGCTTTTTCTTACTATCGCTTCGGGGTAAGTCCCCTTGCTGTTCGAAGAATGATGGGTCCTCAGAGTAGCAACAGGATAACCTGGCGCTTACTGCAGCTGCAGGAACCTCAGGCCTTACTCTAGATCCGCTGCATCAGAATTGGCACAGTGAAGTTTGAGAACTGAGGGAGACCACAGGAATCCTCCAGAATAAGATGAAACAGCTGGGGCCAAATGGTGGCACAGGAGTAAAATGCAATGGCCTGTAAGGTTCACCCACACGGGAAGGTTCTGGGTTCTCATCCAGAGACCTCCCCGGGTATATCGGACATGCACATGCCCATGATCTGGGGCTGACTCAGACAGCATCAAGACTGTATTAGGGGTGATGTCTGTGTGTCTCTATGGCTCATAAAGGAATAAAAATTTTTTCTTTCTTTTTTTTTGGAGAGGTTTTTGCTATAGGGCACATGCACTCGCCCGGTGTGAGTTTTTTAAACCACCGGGTCCAGGACTCAAACCGCGGTCGACCGACTACATGGGAGTCCAGCGACATAACCATTATGCCAACAGCTGGTTCCAGGAATAAACAAACTTTTTAAAAATTACTTAAGGGACCAGCAGATGACAGAATGGTTACATCACTCGATTCCCACACAGTTGACCGCAGTTTGAATCCCAGACCTGGCCACTTGAAACTCAGGACAGGCACATGAGCATGCATGCCCAAGATCCCGAGAGGAGAATGGAGGAGAAGGGATCGCAGCATGGCCATCCCCCCTAGAGGGGTGACTTCTCACTTTCTGTCTCTCTGCCTCTCTAGTGAGCACACACTGCTCTACAACAAAGATTTCTCAAAAATAAACAAATAAATAAATAAAGATAAAACACTCATACCTGTTGACGCACTTGGCTCAGCCAAGTACCCTTGAAATGTTTACCCTCAACTCTTTTAAAGGAGTCCCTTAAAATGAACACTACCAAACATTGTGCACATGAAAATTAGCAGGTCGTTATCTTGGAAGAGCAGATGACCTCAGCTGAAAATTCACATGCTTATGTGAGTATAACAGTCAGATAATGGCTACTGACCCTCGTCCTTCATGTCAAGGAGACTACAGAGAGTGCTGGAGACTGTGGCAAACCTCAGAGCTCATATTCCACCTAGAGAAATGGCAGCTATTTGGTGCTAGCCTAGTGTAGCCAGACAGGAATGCAGGCGTGATGTTGCCAGATCTTCTCAAGAGATGCTAGAAAGTCTGGGTTTTTAAAAATGTGACACCTCTCAATTTTTCAATGCTGGCAATTCATTTAAAATGATAAAAGAACACCTCTGTGTGCCAGATCCAACCCACCAGCTCGAGACCTTGGCTCCCGACGGCTGATCCCCATACTCCTGAAGCCTGTGTAACCCATCTGTGCTGATCTCCATGCTCACACTAGTGTAGGCAGAGGAGAGGTCACAGCAATACAAATGGCACACACCAAATTGCCATGACGACCGTATGTGAAAATTTTGTTTTGTGACTATCAAAAAACTGTCAAATCAATAATGAAAATGACCATATGTCAGTAATACAAATATTTCCTAGATGTTAAACACGTGTTTAATTAATGAACAATATTGTCACTACCATAGTACAAATAGAGAGTATTCTTATTTAGCCCAGCTAAAGAACTAAGAATGATGTTGTGTTTGAGTTCGTGTGCTAAAGAACTCCACAAACTAGGGACCAGCAATTGGCCTAATGGCTGTGTCACTGGACTCCCATGGAGTTAAGCACGGTTCGAATCCCAGACCCAGTGGCTTAAACTCACGCCAGGCGTGTGTGTGTGTGCGTGCCCAAGATCCTGAGAGGAGAATGAGGAGAAGGGATTGCAGCATGGCCATCCCCCTGGGGGGTGATTTCTCGCTTTCTGGCTCTCTGTCTCTCTCTGTCTTTCTGGCGAGTAAACACTACCTATAGCAAAAAAAAAAAAAAAAAGAATTTCACAAACTAAAAAAACAGCCAATTGGAGTAATGTCACGTTTCTACTTGGAGAGCTGACCGATGATATATGCCATATGTAGCTTGAAACAGGACACACTATCATTTAAAAAAAGGGTCTCCACATGTGGAAACTACAAATTCTATTTTCCTAAACTGTTCCATTATTCCAAACAAACTTTTTAAAAAATAGAGTGTGAAATGCAGTTTGCAGTGCTTTCCATTCTGGGACATTTGGGTCCCATCCCTTCACACGTCTGTGAAGGTGACACACATCACAGGCTCAATAAGCAGAGTAGAGACAAGGACTCTGATGTGGCCAAATCCACACTGGATTCTTCTCAATGCTGGGCGATATAATGATCATTTTAAAAAGCAGAAGCAATTTTGTTTCCTTATATGCACAACAAAAATCATCTAAGTGTACCCTACACTTGAAGAGTATCAGACCCTCTTCGTTTTGCTCTACACTGCGTTCCTGGCCCCGCACATGGCAGGACTGAATGAATAAATGAATAAAAGGAAGGAAGGAAGAGCAGAATCCTGTATGTTTCTGCCCTGGTGAAACAGAATTTAACCAATTCCAGTTAAATGGTTGGCCCGAGAAACTCACTGCTCTTAAAGAAAACCCAAAGACACCATATTCTAGTCAAAGTAAAGATGGGGCCGAACCATAGTGGTGCAGGCAGTGGGGCAAAGCTGTGCAATACTGGACTCATATGGAAGGCCCAAGGTTCAAGTCCCAGGTCAGTCCAAACACACCAGGCACGAATGTGATCCTGGCTGGCTGAAAGGCTGGGAGAAGGGTCATGGTGTATGGGATCCTGTAGAAGGTACTTGTCATTCTCTGTCTCTCTCTTCCTCAATAAATAATTTCTTTTTAAAAAGTGAACATGTCATGGGGCATTCTTGATACCACAAAATCTCTTCATTGTAAGAATTCAGCCTTACACATGTTGTTCCTATCAGCTTTCTACTGAAGGGCCTTGTCAGAGTTGCAGACAGCTTCGGGATTACTCAGGGCAAACAACGCATGTGGCCGACCAGGTTTCACAACCTAGAGGATGTTTCCAACTAAGCTGATGGGAGGAGGGTTTGCCCTTCTTCAGCTCTCCTTAAAGAATCTAGTTTCTGTTTCTGTGGGAAACTAAAAGTAAGAGCTGCACAAGGGCACAGGGCTAAAATCTCAACTCTTTAGATAAAGCACTGCTTTCAAACTGCCCTAGGGCTCCTCGGAGGAGGGTAACAGACAAGCACGGCTTCCTACCTGATCCAAAGAAGTTCCGCTTTGGTTTTCTCTATTGAGGATAGATTTAAAATTTCACTTCTTGTGTGTGTGTGTGTGTGTGTGTGTGGTTTACTATGGAGAGAGAGAGAGAGAGAGAGATTTTTTGCTATAGGGTGCGTGCTTGCGTGCACTCACCAGAGAGACAGACAGAGAGACAGAAAGCAAGAAACCAATCCCCAGGGGAGATGGCTACATCGCAATCCCTTTTCCTCCATTCTCCTCGCAAGAGCTTGTGCAGTGATGAACACACACCCAGTGTGAGTTTTAAGCCACTGGGTATGGGACTCGAACTGTGATTGACCACATAGGAGTCCAGTGACATAATCATTACACCATCCGTTGGTCCCAAGATTTCTCTTTTACAAATTTTTTAACGTTTTTTTTTTTGGAGAGATTTTTGCTATACGGTGCGTGCGCTCGCCAGACAGACAGAGAGAGACAGAGAGATAGAAAGTGAGAAATCACCCCCAGGGGGGATGACCATGCCACAATCTGTTCTCCTCCATTCTCCTCTTGGGATCTTGGGCATGCATGCACATGCACCCAACATGAGTTTAAGCCACCGGGTCCAGGACTCAAACCGCAGTCGGCTACATGGGAGTTCAGTGACATAGCCGTTATGGTAACTGCTGGTCCCCATATTTTTTTAAATGTTTTTTTAAAATTTACTTCTTCTGTGAGAGAGAGAGAGACAGAGACAAGAGTGAGAGAGGTTCCTGCTCCCAACAGGGCTTTCTTGTCACAACTGCACTCCAGCCTCTGCCAGCCTGGATCACAGGTATGTACAGGGAGGTTCCCGAATGTGAACCCAGGATGTGGTCCCCCTTATTACCACTGTGCCACCTCTAGCTCCATAATGTACAAGTTTTTTTTTGAAGGTAGATTTCTGTCTTCTTTAAGTTTAAAAACAAGAGATTTAGGTGAAGGCTATGAATGATAGCTACAGCAAGGGTTTTCAACCAAAGATAAGCAGTCCACCCCCCAGCTGAGGAAAGCTGCAGAGAAGCTTATGCCATCCTAAAGTCCAGGGCCAGCCTAAAGTCCCAGGCTTGGAAGGACCTCTGACTTCCACTGTAACTGATGCAAAGGATAAAATGCACAGCAACATTTCGGAAAGGCTGTCTTATATATGTACTTTTTTCTCTTTATGGCTTAATATATTGGGTGGTCAGAAAAGTCATGATGTATTTTCCTGTTTTCCTATGCAAAAATGCATCATGACTTTTCAAAAAAAAACCAGTATCTGGGCATTTACAAAAGCAGATGTTAACATCCCGGAAGAATTCTGCAGCAAGTAGACGTCAGTAGCAAAGGCAGCTCTTACCACCTAGTTAGCTTCCACCCTAACTGAAACCTAAGTACCTACGCCGAATGCGTGACTACATGGAGGGATGGGCAGGGTGGAGGGGAAAGCAAACACACAGCCTTCCGATGGGTGAATCTGGAAATCCTGACAGGCCCGCTGCTAGCCAATGGTGCACCCCCTCATAAATGCAGAGAATGGGGCACAGAACGTTTCACCTTGTGCCTGGATGTGCCATCTTTTAGATTTCCTCGACATTATTTTTAGAGGTGAATGTCTCTTCTCTCAAAAAGAGAAATGAGGAGCCCTGGGTCACCACGGAGTATATAGAGATAAGCTGCCATGACTAAAGGAAGAGGAGAGGTTACCCATCCAATGTAAAACCTGGTCAATCTGGATGCTTGCACCCACACAGCAGGGCTGCTCGGAGCTTGAGGGCCAGTCAGAAAAAGACATGCTAGCCCGTGGTAACGGAACCCACAGAGGCAGTCTCGGGTATGCCTGTCGGCAGATTTGCAGCACCAGTCCTATGCGTGGCCACTTCCACCCACGGCAGGGTGACTGCTGACAGTCCAGCTGTCAGCCCAGCCTTTCCCAGTCATGGCAGGAGCCTCCTCCGGCCAACCCAGCATCTGCTCCATGCAGCTTTCCTGCTCCCTAGTGCTCACGCTGCGACATGTGCAGATCTTCCTTTCAAGCAGACCTTCTAACGGTTCTGTTGTGACTGGCACATTCACTTTTCATGCCCCTGAGTTCAAAGCAAATGAGACTTTCCCTTGAAAAGACATTCCCCAGAGAGCTAATATTTAGGGTAAGCAGTGATGTTGGTTGGGTCAATTAAAATGAACCCTCTTAAATCTCCAGTACAAACGAAGAGCTTCAAACAGTGCCGCCCGATGCCACAAATTGGTTGGGGATCAGTGTAAGTCTGGCGGCAATTAGCCAAACTTACCTCACACTGATGTGTGGAGAACGGGATGTATTCGGCAAGGGCTGGATACGGCTGAGAACTTCCAATGTGCCTAAATCAGGGGAAAAAAATGACAAGTGAGAGGCAAAGTTAGCTTTTCAGAAGTTCAAAATTCAAAATAAATAAATAAATAAAGTCAACTTCCTTTGAAATGGCTGATGGCAACACATTCTACTTAGTATTTACAACCCTTAGAGTTAAAGGAAAACTGCCAAGATGTTCTGCATATTTCTCCAAATGTCTGTTTATCATATAACATTAGCACTGGCAGTAGATCTGGCTCCCTCATTATCAAGCTGTATTAGCTCAAACACTCAGCATTGTTAGGGGAGTGAGCTCATGGCCTATTTCAGTTTTAAATTAACATTTGGCAATCACCCGGGTAATCAAAACAAATGACTCAGTCCTTTAGAATAGATTTATTAGTTGAGCCTGCCCCCCCACCCCAACCAGTGCCCCCACCTCCCGCATTTAACATCTTTAGAATATTTTGCCACAGGAGGGCTCCGATCCAGTCAGAATGTAGAGCACAAGTCACCAGAGGAATATTTAGAGGTGTTGCCATGGAGACGAGGTGCAATGTGACTGTTGAAGTTATCTCCAATCAACAATAGGATTAGGATGCAGGCCAGTGGGCAGGTTCATCCCAGCGCACATCCACATCGTCCTGAAGCACTAGGAAACAGGTGTGCCCTCTGCTCTTCCCATCCCTGTCACAATACAGTCCTCTGCGACACGCTGACCTGCCCACACCCATGTGGCCCATTCACATCACTGCTTTACCCCCACCATACAGAAACACACACACACACACACTCACTCTGCCCTGGGACAACTGAGGCAGGGAGTGTGGTCACTATATTAACCCCAAAGTGTAAAATCCCAAAACGCGCACCAAACAAACTTTTTCACCAACTGTGAAAATATACATGAGCAAGTGAGACCTGAGGCGGGGACCCCATTTACTTTTTCACTGCTCTGTCCCCACACCCGGAACAGTGCCTGGCACACCACAGGTTCTCAAGGATCGGTAGAAACAGGGCAAACACACACCAAGGATTAAAACAAAGCATGGAACCACCCCCGCCTCTCCAGCCCACACACCAGCCTCCATTTCTAGACTGATTTTCAAACAGGCAGCGGTTATAGATTTTTTTTTTAATGTTAATGTACTGGAAAACAAATAGCTAGTCCAGTGAGTTCAACAGGCTAATGGGTTCTCTGTTTGGAGATCATAATGGCAACTGTCATAGCTGAAGACAACTCCTCTGAAGAAGGCGAATTTGTGTCTGTAGTGAAGAGTTCACATTTGAGAAGGAATATGTGAGAGTGGATTCCAAGACACCTACCAGCCCTCTTCCCACCTGTACATAGCCACAGACAGTATTTTCATATTCCAATACAGGAATGGGTATTTGTCTTGTGTTAGTCTAACGTGTGCTATGGGACTTTAAGTTTCTTGGTGGCAGGGATAAAAAACCCATTTCTCTTCTGTCTCCCAGTACTTAGACGGCGTAAACACACAGAAGGCCTTACTCAGTCTCACCCCCCATCACCCACACTCCAGTCGTATGAAACTCACTGTTTCTAGACGGCCCCACAGTCGTTCACGCAGCTGTGATGGGAATGCGGCCTGGCACAGCTGTTCACTCTGGGCACCTGCTTCAAATGCTGGCCCCAACCCTGACTGGCTGCCCAGCCTCTGTGAGCATCACAATGGTAACGACCTCACAGAGGGAAGTCAAAGCACGCAGAGCACTCGGCAGAGCCTCGCATGCAGAAGATATTCATTGACTATTAGTAGATATGTATTGGGTTGCCAGAAGACTTACAACAGATTTTCGCATAGAAAAACACGTCATGACTTTTCTGACAATCTAATATTATTATTACTTAGAGTAGCCAAAGAATCAAGTGGAATCAAATGTGGATGATGATTTCATATGCTGCCACAAACGCTTGGCACCAAACGTAGCCCCTCTCTAGAGATATTAAGCGTAAACTTCAAACCTGAATCCATTGCTGTCTAGCCTTTGTATCCTATTTCACTTTTACTCACCCTTTTGGGATCGATTTTTCCTGGAGATGGTCAAAGGAAGGAATCCTATTCTCCTTCTTCTCAGAGAAGCAGAATAGCTTCCTTCCGATGCTCCCAACCGTGACCGGGCCTTCCCTGCCTTGTATGTCTGCACCCAGCTCTACAGCTCTGGCTTGGGGGAAACTGAGATGAAAAGGGAACAGAGAATTTGTCATGTCTTAACCCAGACCAGGACCCTGGCTAGCCCTTTCTGAGAAAGTCCTTGCGTCTCACGTTCCCTGACACCCTCCAGAGGGCAGAAAGAGAGAAAGGTCCCAAGACTGAGCAAGCTGAGATTTCACATTAGGGTCCAGCCCAGGTCCTTGCTAGAGCAGCCTTCTGTCCCATAGTTCATGGTTTCACCCTCGAAACCGAGTCCACAGGAAGGATAGGAGCTCACAGTGAGATCTGAACCGCCCTGGTATCCCCGCTAGGCTTTACTGCCTGTTCTAGTATGCCCCGTTTAACTACTAGTTGGGGTGGTGAGGACGAACACACTCACGGTAGGTAGAGTTGTATAACTTTTCCATGTACAGTGTGTAACCGCGGCTCTGTTCCGACAGCACACCAACTGTGTTGACAAAACTGCACCAAGTCAAAGGAAAAAAAAAAGGAAAACAGAACAGCAACCAAACACACTGGGTAAACTGTGATGACAGCAAAGTCATCCAACATAAAACCCCAACACTCTAGGGTCAGTCATGCTTTAAAACGCATCATGTTAATCTGATCCCACCCTGACAGAACGAATAAGTGACGTTAGACAAACCATTTACGTGATTCCAGAAGAAGCCAGTAGTTACGTTTTGGTGACATCTAACACATACAGTCGGTCTCTTTCAGTGTTTATCAGAAGGATTATGGTCATGGACACTGTGGACCCTCTCCCTACCCACAGTGCCCAAATCACCAACAGGGTGAATGATGTAGAAAAATAAAACCCACAGACATAACTGCTGAAATGAACTCCAACGATCAGTCAAATCCATCAGAAATGGAAGAGCCCCTCCGAGTCACAGCTCATCTAACTTTTTCGAGTGTGATCATCATAGTAACTGCTCCGCGATCGCATCGTTCAGAATTTTCTCTCCCACCTACGAAAGCCAGGGGCAGTGAACGCCAAGCACCTTCTTTGTTAGGCACAGTTGTGCTCAGCTCAGACTTCTTTCTCATTTACCCTATTTTTCTCCGACTACTGGTGCTACTTTGAGCATCGGAATGTTGCAGAAGAACAGATAAACTGGCTCTCATTGAGCCAAATAATTTGGTAGAAATAAATGGTTCAGACGAAAGATGCCTCATTTTTAATAATTCCAATACAATCAAGATCTGCAATATAATTAAACCTTTAACAACATGTTAATTTCATAAATAGGAACGAAATAAACCAATAAAAGGAAATTGCCACTTATAGAAGTATAATAAAGTCCAACGTTGTGTCCTTGCATTAAGATTTAGGATAGAGTATCTGGAAGAGCATTTATTCCACACAAGGCTCTACATTTATTGTATATGATATAATGTTCTTCGCAATTGGGAAAGAGAGAGGAGGTTTTATTCTTATCCAGTTAAGGAAAGATAGGTTATATTTTTAAAATGTATCTATTATATGGGGCCAGCAGATGACATAATGGTTACATCGCTGGAGTTCCACATAGTCGATCGTGGTTTGAGTCCCGGCTCACACTGAGCGCATGTGCGTGTGTGCCCAAGAGGAGAATGGAGGAGAAGGGATAGTGGTGTGGCCATCCCCCCAGGGGGTGATTTCTCACTCTCTGTCTCTCTGTCTCTATGGTGAGCACACAAGCCCTACAGCAAAAATCTCTCTCTCAAAAAAAAAAAAGATATCTATTATATATACTACACCTTTAAATTTGTGATTAGTCCAAATTTCTCCACAGATTTTTGTAGTTCCTGCAGAAAACTAGAGAGTAAACACATGTACCAAAGTTAGAGTCAAGAGCTATTTTTAACTATGCACTGGAATGTATGTGGTTCTTCATAAATTACCGAAGCTGTTTGTAGGTTTTCAAACTAGTCAATAAAAGTTATCTTTGCAGGGGCTGGCTTTTTTAAAAACAAAAAAAAATTGTTAATTATTTATTTAACTTTATTTATTTTATTTATACCAGAAAGGGGCAGAGAAAGAGAGAAGTGAGAAAGCAAACCACCAGGTCTGGGATTCAAATCGTCGTCAGTCATGTGGGAGTCCAGTATCCTTAACTACCACACCACCTGCTGGCCCCTCCAGGGGCTGGCTCTTCAGGCACGGTGGTTAAGCCCTGTGCATAGGGGGCAGGATCTCACATGGCCAACTGCAGTTTGAGTCTGGCCCTAGCAGCTTGCAAAACACACTGGCTGCACGTGCCCAGAATCCTGATGGGATGGAGAAATGAAGGAAAAGGGATTTCGTCATGACCACGGGCCATTGGGGTGCTTGCGCTCGCTCGCTCGCTCGCTCTCGCTCGCTCTCTCTTCTCTTCTCTCTCCCTCTCCCCCCTCATCCCCAATCTCTCCCCAGAGAGCACACATGCCCTCTTGGATACATTTTATAAAGAGAAAAAAAAAAGATGTTTTTTCTTCTGGATGCAGCATGACTTGCTGGTATTGATGGTATGGTTTGTGCCCTCAAAAATTGCTGTGTCAAGATTTGGCTGTGAAGATATTATGAAGAAATTTAGTACCATCACGGTGTTCGTAGGGGGTCCTTTGGGGAGAGAGCAAGTGATTGGGGCAGGGTCCCTAGGATTGACTCCTGGAGAGACTGTAAGAGTGGATGAGACACACACAAGCGGATGGATACAGGGGACTCCTGCTGGCATTCTCCTACTATGTGACCCTGCAGGGCCTGAGGACCCCACCAACAGGAGAACCCCTACCAGATGTGCACCCTGGGACCCTGGACCTCCGAATCTCAAGCTGAATAAACCTGTGTTCTCTAAAATTTCCAAGACTCAAGTGTCTTCTGTTACTAGCGATAGACCAGACTAGAGTGCCTGGAGACTAACAAAAGGTGAAAGTGTAAGCAGTGCTCCCCACTAGGCCCCAAATAAATACCAAACTCTTTCCAGGGGCCATGTCTAGATGCGGATTTAAAGAATTTTTTGGTCATGAAGGGGAAATAAGAAAAATCTATTTGTCTTTTGACTGGACTATTAAAACATTCAGAATACTTAAGGAGAAACAAGCCAACAAAAATAGAACAGAGAAAACTGAACTCATCAGGCATTAGCAACAAACGGGAAGCAAGCAGAAACACAAATCAAATGGGAAAACCCAGCAAGAAAAATGGAGCGACAAATATTTGCTCAAGTCAAAAGGTAAAACCTTGAAATTCTTGTCCTTTGCCCTAATGTCCAATGATATTTTTGTTTTGTTTTAAAAATATGGAGATTGATGTCCTTTCAATGACTATTACAGCCGTTCCCAAATACAACAAATGATAAAATAAAAATTCGCCTAATTGACTGATAGGCTTGAATTAGTCATTGCCAAGTTTACAACTTTCCCACAACTCCAAGCATTCTTTTGTTAAGAGAAACAGCATTTTTTTCCCCTGACATGATGACTATGGGTAACTTTTTAGGTGACTATAACTGTGTATTTTTATGTAACTTGTCTGCATACTCTCCCCCCAAAAATTAGAACTCCTGAACCAAAGCAATGAGGGACAAAGGACTGTACCAAAACCTGTGTGACAATTCTGAAAAATGCATCTAGAAAGCACTGGCCCTCCCAGAAGCCTAAGTGGAACTCTGGAACCTAAGCTACTCTAACACGGCCATCTCCCTGCCCATCATCACCTATCCTGCCTGTTTTTCCTGCAAGAGAGCTTTCCTACTTTTTCTTTCTTATAATCTCGTTTCTACACTCCTAATTTGGTCTTTTATGACATCGCACCTAGACTCCTTGATCAGATTTCTTGTCTTAATGTTCACTTATTTATTTCTTCCATGAGCCAGAGAGACAGAGAGAGACACATACAGAGGTGTGTGTGTGTGAAGGGGCACCGCAACACAGCCTTGATGCTGTGATCCACCGCCAGCCTTAGCCATGGGTGCACGCTGGCCTGGTGTACTCACAAGGGTCTCCAGGCTCAAAACTGGAACCTTCCCAAGTGGGCCGACCCCACAGAGCATCGTGTTTGACTGCTGCACCACTGTCCAGCCCCACTTCAGACTTAACCATGGGCCTAGGCCTGCTCCTGCCTCCTTCTCCATCCAGCTGTCAGAATCACCTCTCAAATATACCGCTTCATGTGTATCACCCCCTTTCCCCAAACCGTCCTCCACTTGTAATCTAAAGGCCAAATTTCTTAGTACTATCATCCAGGCCATTTGGTTGAACCCTAACCCACTTTCCACTTTCCACCATAGTCAACTGTGGCTCTAGCTGATTCTCTGCCTCTGAGGTTCATTGCCACTAGACAATGACAGCTGCTCTGGCTCATGAAACCCTCCCCTAAAACAGTGGATGGTTCTCAAAATTGGCTGCGGGATTGCAAGCAATTAGCGATGCTTGGGTGCCTGCTGTGGTTTGAATGTGTTCCCTCCAAAATTCAGGTGTCGAAACATAATGACCAATGTGATAGTGGAAG